ACCAAGCACAAGGGTCCTTCGGGTACAAAGATAAGCTCATTTCCGTTAACCAGATCAGCGATGGGAGCAATGACAAGATCGTAAAGTTGTTTAAGAATGTGTTTTTGTGCGATCATAGGGTCATCGCTCGCGATGCCATCAGAACGCTTCTGGGAGTTGACATAAAATTTTACTCCAAGTTCTTTGAGGAGCATCTGAATAAAGAGTGCGACCTCATCTCTTTCAATAAAGGTGTTAACGCTCCTCATCCGTAGCGAGACATCTTTGCCGTTCTGAATAACCCAGAAGAAGATTGTTCCCTCGTTAATAGCTGAGAAAACTACATTGGAAGGAAGGTCAACCAGGGGAAGACGAACGGATTTCTCTTGTGAGGATGGTTCACCTAATGTTTGTTCTATGCCGTATTTCATTTCCATCAGATCTCTCAGAGCCTGTGCACGTCCATCATCAGCAGCAAGTAAAGCCTTCACATTTTCACCTATCAGCAAACATATTTGCCACAAAAGATTGGACGCGTCTCTGTTAATCTCCTGAAAGCTTATCTTCCACTCTTCCTTGTACTGCAAACTATCACTGATACTATTAGTCTCCATCACACCCGCACGACAGAAACCAAAAGCCCTGTAAAGATCTCCTCTGCCAGTTAAGTAGAAACTGAGTTAAAGTAAGGACGAGGCCACGATTACCTTAGCACCATAATTTGGATATATCAACAAAGTTGAAATGGTAAATTGGCCACCGTAACGATTACAAAAGCTGAGGTTTCGAGTGTTAGCCCTTCGTCGGAGCGAATAGAGGACTTGTGGGTTGTGTGCGCTTTTAAAGGCAGAAAATGGAGCTACGTTATTGGTGGGAACATGGCAACAAGAAAAACACGAATAAATTAGTGGAATGAGAAGCGTTCGTTGATCCCTGTGTTTCTAAGCAACATATGGCAATCTGCGGTCTTTCCTTACACTTAGGTAGCACGGAAAGCCGTAAAAATCTTGAACAAAAGCTCATCTTTCAAACCGGCAGTCTAAATCCCACAGGGATCAACGAACGCTTTTCATTCTACTATTTATTCTTGGATTTCTGGTTTTGGGCATGATAAGTGTAATCGCCGCACGTTATTTTGAACCTGTTGACTCAAAATCACCCACTTCCGCTTTTCCTTCACCTGATGCAGCTTCACCTTTAGCTTCCGTATCTAAATACTAGCATTAACCTTTTAACTTTGATTCCCCCAGGTTAAGTTCCTCAGGTGATATCAACTGAGTTGATAAATTTAAATTAGTCGCCGTAAAGAGTTTCTAAAGCTGACTTTTCGAGTGTTAGCCCTTTGTCATTCGCTCTGACCATCCAAAAGAGCAGAATGACCAAAAATAAATAACTTTATCAGTTCCCCTGCGCTGCCCTCAGTATTTAACTCGCTATTTTAACTTCTGTCGCCAATCTTGTGTCAAAAGGGTGGCCAAAAATAATTGTTTTCGATTCCAGCTTTGTACAAAATTATTTCTATAATTCTGTTGTTTTCAGTCCTACGGAGGTACGTTCATATGATTAATATGATAAATATTTGTTTCCAGTTGAGACAAATGCTACAAAGTAAAAGGAAAAAAAGACTTCAACCCGCTCGAAGGTGCGAATTCAAATGAATTCAACTTTTTTAGGTTTTCTCTCATAATGTAAGACAGAATTCAGTTTCTGATTGAAAAATATTCTTAATCGGTACGGTGTCATGGAGACCAGCTACTGACAAAGGAAAATGCTGATTGTAGAAACAGATATCTCTCATTTACGTAGGATCCAAGTCAATTGTTCTTGCTCAGTCTTTAGTTCCTGTGCTTGCAAACAATAGCTCTCTGTTTTCTTTTTTTTTTTTTTGCAATGGCAACTTTGACTTTTTGATTCAGAGAAATTGTTGTTCCCATCAGTAACACTTATAGCTAATTTTTCCTGATTAGGTTTTATTACTAGAGTTTAAGTTCGGCACTCGTATGATGAGACTAGAGCATCCTCTATAACTGAAATGCCAAAGAATAAACCCCTGCTGTATCAGCCTTACTAGGATAGTTTATAAGAGGAAGTACAGCCGTGTTGTGATCTTAGGTTATAGTCAAATTAAATAAAGTTCTTATCTCCCATTCATGTCGGTGCTCTCGAGTGTTGTCTTCTTTTTCTTTTTTTTCTTTTTGTTTTTTTTGTTGTTTTTTTTTTTACGGTCTCAAGACAGGCTTCATGTCTAAGAATCGAATCGTCTCATATAACTTTGATCCATCAAAGCAGAGTTAGATTTAAACTAGATTTTCCTCCGAACGATCTCTTCCACTCCTCTTATTTTTCCAACAGGCAATTGTCGTTTAATTATCTAGGTTTTAAACTTGTCCCTCCTTAAATCTTACTTTTTCGTCACTCATAAGTTACATAAGATAAGTTTGGGAGCAGGAAATTTCAAATAAAACCAAAAAAGTAATAGTGATCAAATGAAATAAAGATAAAAAAGCAAACAAAGTTATCTGCGTGATGCGGCTGTTCCTTTCCATAAGCGAATTCATACGAGAGTGCCTTCAGGTGGGAGATGAGGCTAAAAATACCTTACTTAGGAAAGAGCAATTGTATTTCTCACCTGTGGAACTTCAATCATCAATTTGAGGTTTTTCCTTAAGGACAGGAATAGCACCCTCTTTTAGAACTGAAACGGAGGAATTCAAAACAAGTTTAAAGACAGCTGTTGAATTCAATTATCAAAAATCACCGAAAAAATTTCCAACTTAAAATGTCTATCAATATTTAATATTTGCAACCTCTCGCGTTGTTGTCTATGAGGCCAAGAAACGTTGTTTTGAGCCATTCGACTTCATTTTGAAAACCACGCCATCTTACATTATTGTCACTCCTACCACACAAGAATTATTTTTGCGACTTCGGTTGACCGCAATCTAGCGGATCGAATGATAAAAACGAAATTCCATCGCAATCCCTGTATTTTTTACCAAGATGTTCTTTTCATGACTATTGTCGCTTGAAATCTTTAGCAAAAGATCCATAAACTAGAGTTGCTTCATAAACTCTGTCTTTCATTGGTCAGTCTGAAATTCTGATATTTTGGGTTTTAGTTTAAGGATTTAACAGCATCTTAGCTTTTTACAAATACCTTGAGCTAAATGAGACTCTATACCAAAGTTGCATTCAAACCGTTGGAATATTTCTACCTGATGAAGTGTCATTGTTACTATTCAATTTCAGTTCGTCTGATACAACTTGGGCATGATCCGCCACTGAAAAAAAAAATCAAAGAGCAGACGGTTAAACTTCTTAAGAAGTTGGAACACCAGAACTTTTACACTTTGTTCAGCTGACTATTAAAAATCGGTCACTATTGACTATATTTTCAATTTAACTTACTATGACTAAGAAAAACTGATCCCTATATAGCAAGAATTTGAAGACTTGGTCTTATTGTTTTATAGTTTAAATATATCTAAAAATCCGCCTCAAAACTGAAAAAACTATATCCCTAAACCAAGATCTTACACACTTCTTAATATTTGTACCTTTTGACTAGGTAGAATCCAAGTTTTCTTCACCGGGTCCAACTTCACCTTCAAGCTCCATCTTTAAACGATAAAATGTTCCTTTCAACACTGAATCTCTAAGGTTAAGGTTTGGCTCTTTATGTGTAGTTTCGCTCCCAAACTGTTCATATCCTTAGATTTTCCCGGAAAAGAGACTGAATGAAGGAATAGGCTTAAAAGCCCTTTCTTTGTTTCCTACTTAGAATCACAGTGCCATGGCAACCGACTGTTGACCAATTAAACGATGTCAATGAACACAATATAGTATTTTTTCAAACCTGTTGACTCATCCACAGAATCATCCACATACACCTTTCCTTCACCGGATCCAACTCCACCAGGCTCGGTATCTAAACATACTGAAGTACAATACAGATTTTTGTGGGATATGCATCCCGTTTCTTTCGGTTTCGTATGTCGACTATAGCGTGTTTAGTCCACTCAAATAGTTGCGCGAAAAGCTGATACGTCTGTAAAATATGATCTATCATTCGAGATTTTGTCCCCTTAGCATTAGAGACACAAAAAATTGTTAAGATGAATTTTCGTAAGTTCGCAGTAAATGACTTTTGCCTAAGGGGCGAAGCAAGACAATAGTTGTCTGCGTTACTTCATGGCCGCTATGTTGATGCTCGTTAGATGGTCACCAGCATGGCGTCCCCATAATGAGCTCTTTTACTTTATGTCATTTTGGCGTAAACCTCATCGAGGGAAAACCCTACATACCTTAAACCTGGAGAAAAATAGCTATTTATCAACATTCTATTATAGCTTACTCTCTTGGCATCAGGCATTTAGTATCTTTTATTTCACATTCGATTGCGTGATGGTGGTAACCAACCAATACCGTGTTTGAGGCCAATTAAGTGCCGTTTCATTTGCAATGGCCATAATAGCTCTCATGAAATTCACATGCAAAGTGAACATCAGAACACATATCAATTTTATTTTCTGCTTGTTTTTGTTTGTTTGGTATTTTGGAAAATTAACTTATTGGAATAAGTGTTAGAGTTTCCTAGTTTTGCAGTATATTACATTTCAAGCCATTAATAATTTATTTGGCCTTGTAGATTTTGAAGGCATATATAGTTCTCAAACAAAATGGTGCAAATTTAGGCAAACATTTAAAAAATATAATCCATATATCTTGTTAAACTTTTTGTTGTGTAGTATCGCTGAGTATTTTTACGAGTTGTGCCGTATTTGAAAGAGCCCGTAGGGCGAGTCAAAATACAAATAATGAGTAAAATACTCAGCGATACTACGCAACAAAACGTTTTATAAGAGATTTATTATCCAACACGCCAAATTGTTACTTCATTGTGACGAATTTTGCGGATGTTTATTTAAGGGGAGTGCGTCACAAAAGTATCTGAAGCGCAACAGAATTGGCTCGGTATTTTCTTCAACAAATAATGAAATTTCACTGTCGTCTACCTGCTGTTCTTCGTTCGATTCATCTAATAAACCTGGATCAATATTTACCAGCCATTCCAGCTGTTCGTCGTCAGAAAAATAATTTACACTGTCTGCCATATTTTTTCGTAACTTGAATCCAATTCATAGTTTGTGCGATGCGAGAAAACATGTCTAACCTGTTCAGCGGAGTACAAAGACCGTGAGATATTTGTCCTCGTTTTGGGCGTTATTTATTTTCTACGAAACACGGTCGGATAATAAAACTTTTCATTTGTACCTTTTGACACACGACCATCTGCATCCTTTTTTCCTTCATTTGATACATCTCTGTCCACGGGCTCCATGCCTAGAAAAGAAAGAAAGGTCCCTTAATCAAAACTTTGCTTCAGCAATTGGGGATTTTCTAAGATGTAAACTCTTTTAGTTGACGTTCCTGTCAATACCTATCTTACATTTATCAATTAATTTTTTCATTTCTCATGTCCTAGATATGAAAGACTTTCCTTCTTTTCCATTCTTCAGTAGCATTATATAATCGACAAACAGTTCTTGATTGATCAAGGCTTTTTATCAGCAATTCCTTTTGCCCTACTTTCAATGATATTCAACCAGTTCCGTTTAAAGGCGCATTTTTTTTCTACAACACACACGTAATGTTTTTTACATACCTATGAAATACAAAATTAAAATGAAAGTTTAACAGCTTGACCCTGAGTAACATGTTTACATATGGACAATATGATCTAGCATGAACCTTCACACAACCATGTTTCTATAGAGAGGACTTTGCAGCATAATGTCATCAATTTCTTTGTACAATATCAAATTGATATATTTTAACATTTTCGGCATATGCACGGCACTCGAATGCCCTCATCTATATTTGTTGATTTAGCTGTTTTGTCGATTTGACTGTACTCGCTTGTCACGTTTTAGTAATGTTCTTAGCAAGAATACCTTTAGATGCTTTAGCTCTCAGCTGAAACATTCATCAACAAATCTGTCTACATGTTAACAATTACCAGTGACCAACGACGCTCACCGTGAAAATATTATTTCCCCTTTTGAAGGCTGGATGAAAAAGTGAAATTAAGCCGTGCACTAAAAAATACTCTGGCGCACGGGAAGTTTTGAGGACGTTCAGGAACGTTTCGAGGTAAGGGTAAATTTAAAAATGTGATCTCTGATTTCCTGAATGGCATAGAAAATGAAACGATCTCATTCATATCCAGTTTCAGCTTCAGTTCCCAAGTTAGACCATGAGTTCTTTCACACGAACGACGTGTCACTTTCGGAATTAAGTCTAGTCTGAGCTTCTTACACACTCATGTTTCTAATTTGCACCTCGAGGCGCCTCCCGAAGAGTCCCGACTGTTACCGATGGGAGCGCCTCCCGAAGAGTCCCGACTGTTACCGATGGGAGCGCCTCCCGAAGAGTCCCGACTGTTACCGATGGGAGCGCCTCCCGAAGAGTCCCGACTGTTACCGATGGGAGTTGGGGAGATTGTCATACAGCTTCTTCAAACGAACAACAAAAAAACCAACGCATGTTTCTATTATAAGTGACCCAATCGAAAATGTAAACGTATAATTGTGATACAAATGTACTCAGTAACGACATTATCAAATAACGCAAGGACACGTAATGCGACAGAAATTTCTCTTTTAACGCAAACACGTTGAAATTATAAACTGGCAAATGAAGGCCTTTCAATTTAAGTTCTCCGTGTTTTTAGGTCTCATTTGCATTTTATAGCGTAATCGGTGATCATAGATAAATGTTCTTTGGATGTCGTTACTCGGCCTAAATGAAGAGTAAACGGACATCGAAGTGGGTCGCGGTGGGGTGATAGTTCTGTTATTTAAATTTTCGTCATTTTACGACATTATTAATGATGATATTGATAGATGATTCCATTTTAAAATATTTTCAATTTCTGTTTGGAAAAATAAAATAAAAAAGGTAGGTCACCGTGCTTGTTTGAGAGATATGATGGGCCATTCTTACCCTATTCATGCTTACAACTGGCACTAATCACTTCCATCGGGTGAAGGTACATTTTGCGGTTGCTCGAAGCAAGGGTTTTTAAAGTAACACTTGAAAAAAACTTAATAGATAGAATGTCTCGAGCCTACACAACAATTTGATATGAAATTTGTGGAAAAACTACCGGCGCAATTTTAAACGACATCAACTAAAAACGAGTAAAAATACTCAGCGACACTAAACAACAAAATGTTTTATAAGTAATTTGTTATCCAACACGCTAGACTGTTATTTCAGTGGGGCGAGTTTTGCGGATAGTTATTTACGGGGAGTGTGTGACAAAAGTATGCGAAGTGGAGCGGAATTGTCGCGGTATAATCTTCAATAAATAATGAAATTTTACTGTCGTCTACCTGCTGTTCTTCCTTCGATTTATCTAATGAACTTGGATCAATACTCGCCAGCCATTCCGACTCTTCGTGGTCAGAGAAATAATTTACACTGTCCGACATATTTTTTCGTAACTTCAATTCAATTCATAGCTTGCGCGATGCGAGAAAACATGTCTAACCGGTTCTGTAGAGTACAAATACTGCGAGATGTTTGTACTCGTTTTGGAAGTTATTTGGATTCTACGAAGCACAGTTGGATAATAAAACTTTTCATTTGTACCTTTTGACACAGGGATATTTGCATTCTTTTTTCCTTCACTTGATACAACTCGGTCTTCAGGCTGCACACCTTAATTAAAAAAAAGACAGATCCCTTAAAAACTTTGCTTCATCAACTGGGGATTTTCTGAGATGTCAACTCTTAGTTCTCGTTCCCGTCAATATGTATTAATTAATTATTAATTATTAATTAATTTATTAATTAATTCATTTATTCCTGATTTCCTAAATATGAATGACCTTTCTTCTTTTCCATTCTTTAAGAGCATTATACAATTGACAAACAGTTCTTGATTAATCAAGGTCTTTTAAGAGCAATTCTTTCTGCCCAACTTTTAATGATATTCAACCAATTCCACATAAAGGCGCATTTTCTCTTCAACACATCACGTAATGTTTTTCAAATACCTATGAAATACACAATACAAATGAAAGTCCAACGGTTTGATCCTAGGTAACTTTTTTTTATAGGAACAATATAATCTAACATGGAACTCCACACAATGATGACGTTGCTGCATAATATCATCAATTTCTCTGTGCGATATCAAGTTAATATTCTGTCACATTTTCGCCATGTGCTCGACACTCGAATGCCCTCATCTAAATTTGTTGATTTAGCTGTATTCGCTTTTCACGCTTTAGTAACCTTCTTAGCAATAATGCCTATAGATGCTTTAGCTCTCACCTGCAACATCCATCAACAAATCTGTCTACATGTTAACATTTACCAGTGAACCACGAAGCTGACCGCGCAAACATCCACTGAAATGATATTTCCCGTGTTAAAGGCCGGATAAGAAAGTGAAATAAGCGATGCGAAAAAAGAATGCTCTGGTGTACGGGAAGTTTTGAGGACGTTCAGTGACGTTTCGAGGAAAGGGTAATTTAGAACTGTGATCTCTTATTTCCCAAAGGGCATAGAAAATGAAACGATCTCATCCATATTCAGTTTCACCTTCAGTTCCCAAGTTAGACCATGAGTTCTTTCACATGAAAGACGTGTCACGAGTAGATTTTTTAGGTTTTGATTTCAGTTGCGATTAGCGTCAGTATTGCGAACATTGAATTAAGCTTTATTGTATTAGTTCTCCCAAGGCACAGAGATCCACTCTTCAGAATCTTCTAATCAAGAACAATAAAGATTACAGAAATTTCTGATGGTTTGATACGTTTGCTGCCTCCTGTACCAAAATAATTATTTCTCCCTGACTAGGCTTTCACGCAACCTCAGACCTTTAATAAACTCAAACCTCAGACCCCGCAGATTTATACACATTCCACCTTTGCACGTTTTAAAATTTACTGTGCGCTGTGATTTATATCACAAAATATAGTACGGCTATTATTTCCATCTTTTCCGTTTCTGGTTTGTTCTAGTAGGAAGAAAAGAGGGGATCGCAAAATCGAATTGGAGATTTAGTCATGATATATGGGCAACAACCGAGAAATTTGGACAATTTCTAATTCAATTTCTTTTTGTATCGCTCTCAAATAAAAATCGTGCCACACGTTGTTAAAAACTTATATCCGTGGTCTTCAAATAAGATGTTAGCAATTTCATCGCTTAATTGACCAACTAAAAAAAAGGCAATTAAAAAACCCCATTACTACTTCGAAGTCACCTGGCTTTTCGCAATTTTTTGTTCATAACTTGGCATTAAAAATGTGTTAGAAAGAAGACGATCAAACTTCTCAGTTTTCATTTACGCTCCATGACAACGTTTTCTCGTTCGTGTCACAGTTAAATTCATGCTGCTTATACATCTAGTTTTTCTTTTTTAATCGACAGCTTCCTTTTAATTTTCAAAATTGATCAATTGCTCATAACAGAAATTACTTATGTAACGCGGGTAACGAGATAAAAATCAATTTATTTGTACTCTTTAGATAACTTGACTCGAAACGAAACTCGAAGATTAACAGGAAGTCCTTCTCGAAGTCCAACTCAAAGTCTAACTCGAAGTCCAACTCAAATCCAAACTTGAGCATGCCTCACAAAAATTTTGCTAAACAAATAATATAATTGCCAGCGCAGCGCACCCGGGCCAAATTAAATTTGAATCACACAAATTACATTCAAAGAGATAAACAACGCTTTGTGTGTTAACAAAAGGCAATTTCCGAATTACTTTTCGCCTCTTTTTCAAAACGAGGCCTGGTGCTCAACCATTCTTGTGAAAATGAGTTTAATTTGCATGTGAATGAAAACTTATAATCATATGAAAGGATGAGCACCAGGACTCGTCTTGAAAATGAGGCCAAGGATAATTCGGAAATGGACTATTGGAGGTTTGATTTCTTTCTTTGAAGCTTAGATCTTGTGATAATTTAATGTTTACATGATCTTGGATCCCGGTGATTTCAATTTGTGCCGGAGGCAGTGAACTAATCTCTGGTAGACGTTAATTTAATGCACGCAATTGGATCGTGTGGAGTTAAGTGTACATGTAAGTCTCTTCGACTGTCTATGAAATGGGCAGAAATGGCATAGACAACCATTTACTTAGGATGGCCGCAGCTTACAAAGTATGGCTTGCATGACTACTTCAGTTTAAGAACTACCGTACTAGAAGAAGGGGCTGTGCACACGATCGTACATTGAGTTCACTAAGCTTTATCAACTGGCCGATTATCTTTGAGCCGATTATCTACTGACGGAGGATCAGGAAAATACTAGATAGTAAATTAGGACGTAATGAAAAAATAAAAAATCAAACTGCCGTTAGTAATCAACAGCTAAATATTACACAGGACTTTTAAAGAGCAAATTAGCATTTTTTTTTTTTAGCAATCTCTTTATTGCGTAAAACAAAGCGAAGGAAGAAGAGGAAGACTAAGAGATTTTCAGTAGATTTTAAGGGGAAAAAGCTGTGATTGAAATTCAAATTGGCGGAAACACCAAACACGTAGGTATGCGCGACATCCACGAAAGATTTAATGACATTTGAGAAGAATAACGCACTCTCATCGTTTAACCTTTGCGTGAACAAGCTAAAAATTACGTGAACCTTACACAGAAAAATTGTGTTCACCGGTGTTCTTGTTAAAATGAGGATAAAAGTAGTCGAAGCGGTTTTTCTCCTCGCTGCCATCAAGGGAAGTGGATTTGTTCATGGAGAAGACGATAACAGTGGAATTTTCGATACAGAATTCGCGTTATTCGGCGCACTGATAATAGCTTCATTCTGCTTAGGTGGCGTTTATTTGTGCTGCTACTTCACTTGCTGCCATGAATATCTGTGCAACGCCTCAGAGGATATAGGAAGCTGTTCAGATGCAATGGTTGAGGAAACGATGTCTGAAAATATGGATAATAGAAACGTGAAAAATGATCATTCACAACTAACTCCAGTCTAAAGAAGCGGATTGGAAATCCCTGGTGAATAATTTCTCTTTCTAGTCTGCCATTTCGTTATAAGAATACAACTTTTTGCTACTCGCTCATCGCTCACCAGAAAGACTGTTCGTTCTCAGCATGAGAGCGCTGAGCCGTTAGATGTCCTGTTAAACAGGATATTCTTGTTCGTGGATAAACTCGCAGCAAGACTACACCATCAGGTATACGCGACGCAAAATTAAAAATGGGGCCGAGAGAAGACTTGAAGAGGTAGAGATTATGCTCTCTGTTGAATTCAGTAACATTAAAGTCCAAGTTGTGAACTGAGATTGCTTAAGGCCCATTTTATACAACAAAACTGACTTTCAAGAATAAGGCTTCATTTTGTTGCCAACGACAGCGTCTGTAGTTCAGCCTGAGACTCTCTCGTTGGCCGTTAAATAAACTAATCAAAATTAAAACTGTTTAGAATTTAGACGTTGGATGATTTCTTGAGACCTAACAGATAGAAGCTTACTTTTAATGACACTCACAGTATTTTCCAGTTCCATCCTTTTCACCTTTATTTGCCTTCACTTTGAAACTTACGGCGTATGTAGATTTTTATCGCATACTCGGATATCTCATCATTTAGAATAAAAAAATTTCCCCGTGTTTAGTAACACATACCACAGAAGATATTAGTGTTGTCATGGTAGTGGGATTCATCTTCGTGACGTTTCGTGCGTTTTTAGGGCTTTCACCCTCAAGCAAAGTTGCCGAAGTTGGATTCGTCCTTTTCGCTAGACAGAAGCGACATTATTAAAGTGTGTTGCTTTTGTGTATGAGAACCTGAAGTTGACATAGCATAAGCACGTCTTGTGCAGGATGCGTGTCCCAATGATGTCTAGTTTGAATATATCACCACAGGTGGCCCATGCTCTCAAAATGAGCCTCCGTAAATATTCAAGTATGTTTACATTCGCAATGGCCGAAGTATAATCAAACAAACAAACAAAGAGAAAACAAAGAAGAAAAGTAGTTTTGAAACTAAAAAAACAAAACAAAACACAAACAAAACAAAGTTACCTCGCTCAAGTAGTTGATCCATTGCATCGTGGTATTTTTATGGACTGATTTAGGGCCCTTTAGCCATGTTTTATTTGCGATCTCTTTAGCCTTCTATATATAGATACTTGCATGTTTACAGAGGCTCATTTTGGAACCCTGGAATACCTGTGATTTGACCGATATCAATATTATGATGTAACATTATATGATAGGGTCTAAAAGTACTTACGAGTGACCACGAGTGACCACGAGTGACCACGAATGAGA